CACCGCAAGCATCTATCTCCTTGTCCCTTATCGATCCATTGCGTGAGGACTTACAGCATCCCATTTCAGGTGAAGTACACAGTACATACGAAGACTCGTCTACAAGGCATGCGTGCCGAGACATCAGTTGTACGGGAGCATGAGGAATTCCTATGGCTTCATAGTGTGTTGGATGAAAACGAAAGCTATGCAGGTTTCATTGTGAGTTTGCTGTTTCTATACTTTCAACGTCACTTGTACTGCGGGCAAGATCTGCAGAGGCTGTACTGCAGCGAAAGAAACTGTGAAGCTTGCGTTTTTTTTTGCATTTCTCAAAAATTTATCGGAAATGTAGTGGTGCCACTCTTTCAAAGAAAGGGCACTGTGATTCAGTGGTCTTTATTTTTACAGCTACTATCGGAGTTCGAATCAATTCAATAGAATGACTGACCTGGAGAATATCAATGTTTGTGACGTCATTACGCTGTATTTAAGGTCCCACCAGCTCCTCCTCGTCCTGATTTCGACTCGTCGCGAGAGAAGCTGCAGAAGCTTGGTGAAGGAGAGGCGACCATGACGAAGGAGGAGTTTTTGAAAATGAAGCAAGAGCTCGAACAGTATGTTATGAAGTTTTGCACGACTTGATTCACGTGTGCGTGAGCAGAATAAAGCCTCAGACAAATTCTTTAGTTCAGCTAGTTTTTCGAACGTTGAATGCTTTGTTTCAGGGATTACCTAGCACAGTTCAAAAAAACTGTCGCCATGCATGAAGTGTTTTTACAAAGGATAGCCGCTCATCCAGTATTTCGGCAGGATTCCAACTTCCGCATCTTTTTGCAGTATGAAGATGAAGTGGGTTTCACTTTTACTTTGCAATCTTTTAAGTTGTTTCCTTTCGCATCGAAGTTACGAAATTCTGGCAAAATTCCGTAATGCACAGCAGTTGCAAGTTTATAGTTGCTCTTGACTGTAACTGTTGAAACGAATGATGTAACTTAAACCAAAAGACACTAAACTAGGCCATTAAAAGTCCACCTACAAACATCGTCGGCACAGAAGTATAACATCAAAAACACTAAAGTTAATGTGTTAGCATTAATCATTGCTGCCAGTGAGTCTCACCCGTTCACCCATATTTTTTATAATTATTTGCAATTGTATATTTGTATTATATGAATTCATTTTTTGTAAATACAAACACGTCGAACATGTTTTCCAAGTAATTCTCGTTCCCTGGAGGCTTCATTTTTGGTAATACACTGCAGCTTTCACACCGTCAGGACTTACCTATAGATCTTACTCCTTGATTTTTTCGACACACGACACCTTGCAAAATGAGAAACTAGTGTTTTGCCTCAAAGAGAGACTGTGATGATTTCTTTTCGTGTCCGAGATGGGCCGCTCCATGTCGTAGATATGTATCACTCCCGTGATTCGAAACTGCACGGCAGTTGAGCTAGTAGAGGCTTGTGATAACTTGATATTCATTTTACCATCATCAACTATTCGGCGTACGAAACACAGGCTAGCCGCGCTTAGGTACAGAGCTATACGTTATAGTCGCTAAGACTGCGTTCACACTTTGCGCCAAGCAATCAGACGTCCACAAAAGCGCAAACCAACTGCGCCTTCCGCAGTGTTCTAGCGCCTAAAAAAAACGGTGTTAAATCGATCCAGCGTCCGCCAGCATCCACCAGTCTCGCCCAAGGCGATCTGCCCGCGTCCTACAGCGTCTGGAGGACTAGGAAAGTATAGGTATCGATCTAGCGCCTGCCAGCGTCTACCACCGTTCACCAGCGACTGAGAGTAGAGAGCTTGAGGAAGTATAAGGGTAGCAAACAGCTGGATTAAGCGTTGTGAAACTGCATTGTGCAACCGCACCGTACTACACTCACCGTACATTACTTTACATGACGTAATTCTATGCTATAGAAGTTGCGCAGTGTGATTGCGCACGCCGCATCACCCCGTACTCTCTACTCGTATTCGCGGGTGTGGAACGCTGTCCAGTGACATGGTGCTTGAACACCGGCAGGCGGCTTAGCATCGACATCTATTGCTTCCTAGTTCGCTGATGCTGCCGGACGCTTGGAACGCTAGTGAACGCCGGTAGACGCTGATGGAGGCTGCCACAAAGTATGAACGCAGCATAAGAAGTTGCTTGTTCGGTTCCGTACCCCGTCGCAATTCGAATGGAAAGGTTTGGCATAGGCCACGGCAACTATCGTTGTTAGGACAATCCCCCAACAGAGGCGTCGAATTTGGCTAGGCTGCAGAAATTTATTTGGGATGGTATGATTTTTTCTCGCTTCACGGACGTTGTAAAAGGGGGGGTCGTACTTGCTCATTGTTGGGAGGGGGGTCGTATTTACTTTCTGGCCTTTCTAGGAGTGGTGGGAGTGGTGGTTGACTTTTCGTGATTTTCCTGTTTCATGCGTAGTATACCCCTACCCTTCCCCTCCCCCGCTCGACAGCTCGATTCGATGAGGAGGGACAGAGGGCCGGAGGGGGGGTCGTACCAACCCCCAAAAAAGGGGGAGGGGGTCGTACGGACTCGACCAAAATCCCCAACCAATGATGTGCCCTGTATAGGGCATCAAACTGTCATGATACTCTAGTTTCATATTCGCCTACTTCCGTGTATACTTCTACGGCTGTAGGCCTGTCCACCTCGAATACCGAAAGAATGCAGCTCTCAGATAGTCGTATAGTGAGTATCTGAACAGTATCTGTAGCTTTTTCAGCGATCTTTTCAAACTATGCCAAGGAATGTGTACTTGTTTGATGACGGTCGATGCCTTGTAAGACGCCTCGTTCGCGAGGGCTCCAGTGACCTTTACCTCGACATTATCACATGTCGTCGTTGCGCTTCACGCATGAAAATCACATTACGACATGGCAAGTATAAAGGCGAAACGCGTTCTTACTGGGCGTACAGATGTCAAGGATGCCAGTCATATCGCTCTCTGGTCACGATTCAAAGTCCATCAACAACATCATCACCGAGCTCCTCGAGAGTTATGTCCGTGAATCTCAAACGAGATTCAAAATCAGAGATATTGCCTCCAGTTGGGAAAAAACCTGCGTTGTCTGCATCGGTGACGGCGACTCAGGAACCTTGTGGTTGTCTAGTTTTTATACCTAAACAATTGACTGAAGCGGAAGCGTTGCTCTTTCGTGAAACATTTTTCAAGATTGTTACGAATCAGTATACGGAACCAGAAACCGAATCTTCGGGTTGCCCTCCTTCTTCTATGGTTGCTCCTAATTGACTTAGGAGTAAAATGGGTTAGAATCAGTATTGTAGCCTTGTGAGCCTCAAATTTTTGCCATTATCATTCTTGCCATTGCCGTTATTTCATCAGTGATTGTTTCGAGCTTACTTTTTTGTTATTTCCAGCATCATATGCTCTCGTTGTTTCGTTGCTTCTGTTGTTAAAGGCTTATTGTGGAATTACTCGAGAAGTCGAGCCTTTCGGTGCGCAAGCAGAGAACTGTAGCACGCCCATCACTCGAAAGTGCGCAGTAATTGAGCTTGAGGATTGTGATGGCTTGATTTTTCTTTTGTTTCTGCATTGTCTACGTGAGAGGGCGCAGAAACGCATCGCACATGACTGTGATTGGCCGTGCGGCGTGGTTGTGGCGTGGTGTCTCGCGTATCGAATAGCGGGCGGAGGCCAAATGACACCATGCTATCACGAGCGTATGGCTTCGTTGCAGTGCACTTTCGAATGGTGCATATGGTGCAGTTAAACCTTTGTGAGCCTGCCTACCTTAGACACGGGAATAGTTCACCACCCACGTAATTGTGCGATATCTCTGTGAAGTGCTCAGATGTACACGAGCGTAGATACCAGGCGGTTAGAGAACATTTCACGAGCTGTATAGGTTCAATGAGAGCTCTTTTTCTGGGCTAATGCCGTTTGGACTCCAGAAATTTCGTCTTCGAGCTCATTTTCAAATTGCCTAAGTCACCAAATCCACTAAAAACTTGTATATAGGGGTAATTCAACATCCTGATTACGAGTATGACACTCATTCTTGGCGCTGGCGCCAAGAGAGGACACTACGATTACCTCCTGGGCTCAGCCTTAGCAGAGCGCAGGTAACCGTAGTGTCATCCATTAGCGCCAGCGCCAAAAATGAATGTCATATTCGTGATCAGGATGTTGAATTACCCCTATATACAAGTTTTTAGCGGATTTGGTGATCTTGCCACTTTTAATGAGCTCGATAGACACAATTTCTGGAGTCCGAAACGGATTAGCTTTTGGTTCTCGCATTTCCGCTTTCGTCGATCCAGGTGTAAAATAATCGGTTGGAAGCCGCACTTAACACAGCTTTCTAAAGCTTTTACTATTGTTTTACTTCCTGTAACTCTTGTTCATTTCGGCTTTCCTGTTCCCTTAATCAGTGAAGCTCTGTTTCGCTAACTTCTGTTCAAAACTATCTCGAGCACATCCACAAAAATCGCTCTGTAGAAACTCCGCTTTTATTTTAGAGAAGCCTTTGTGCTACCCAATAGCGACCTGTAGATCGCCGAAGTGTTGTAGTCATTGATTGAAGAAGTTGCCACTGCTCATAAGCTCATTTTTATTGATAAAAAAGCTGAGCAAATCGCGGAGAGTTTGCAGACAAGATTTTCCAATGGAGCGTGATTTTCTAGAGTAACTGGTAACGTTGAGTGACCAGTAACAGCGAAGTAGTCTGGTAAGTGCATTTATAATATTGTGAGACGAAAAACATCCGCGTAGCAATCAAGCCTTCATACTTCGCGATCGTATCTGCGATGTAGCAATACGCATCGACAGCGAAATTATGAACGATCTGCCGAACTGTAAACACTCTGAAGGATGAGCCACGCACGCATTAACGATTCTAAAATCATGAGTTCATTTCGTCCCTAGAGTTGCATTTCGTCCTTACTTTTGAACCATGTCATTTACTACAGGGTAGTGTTACCCTGAGGTCTTATATTTGCTATTTTCACTTTTTTTCATTCGTGCCGAGTACCTTATCTTGCAGGCGGATAAGGCTTTGAGTGCATTAGGAATCGGAGCAGTTGGTATGTGATTATAATCAGTTTGCTTAAGTTCATGCGAGTATTGTTTGTCTTTTAATTATGTTCACTATTCAATTGTGAAGCAAGGCTTTTGCTGCTGCAGTGTTTTTTTTTGTTATGAGTTTGTATATGTTGTTATTGTTGTTTAAGAAGATATTTAGATAGACGGGTATTCTTTTGATAGCGACCTCCCATTCTACGTTGGATATTTTCAGCTAGCTTTTTTCGATTGGCTATATCTCTTTTTCTTTTCTGTAGTACTCAGTGATTCAGATTTTGGCGGTTACATTGGAGTTGTGGTAGAAACAAGAGGAATATATCAAGATTTGCATTTCTTTCTGATTAGAACGCAATTTTTCAGTTATACGCCGCGTATGTTCGGGCAAAAAAAAGATGTGGATGATCGCTGATGCGAGCCGGATTTAATCGCAATCTGCCGATGAAGTGCTCTTTGGACAGGTCTGTTCTGTTTAATTCTGAAGGGAATCTGCTATTTGCCTTCAAAAAAACGTTCATTCGTGTTCTTATCGTTCTATTTTAAATCTTTGTGTACTTAGTTACATTTGGTTAATTTTTATCTTATTTTTGCATTGTTTATTAATTATTATCGTTTACATTTTTTATTTTCTTGTGTATTTGTTAAGTTCAAGATGATTGTTTAGTTGAAACTATATATTGTATTGAGTCAATGGTTTTTTTTGTGGGGGAGGTTTCAAAGCAGATAGCTCAATTCCCGTTTCGCATGTGCCCTTAGACGGGAACTGAACAATTTTCAATATTCCTCCTCTGTGCTCGTCAGTAAGGGAAGGAGGAATCTCTAATTTTAATTGCTAATATTTTAAAATAAAAAATGTGTTATAACCTTTTCTCAGTTTGCATCTTTTCATCTATATTGTATTACTTACTTAGGATTACTTAGGCGACCCGTTCTTCAGCACGGCGGTTGACCTTGCGCGGGTCCCAACTTCTTTTCCATTGATCTCTGTCTTGAGCCTTGCTTGTCCAGTGCATAGAGACCTTAAGAGAAATCTGATCATAAACATTGTTGCGATAGGCCAGAGAATCGGCCCAGCGCAGAGGAGGGCGGCCCGGCGGTCGCTTCTTGTCACGCGGGTACCATCGTATGGTCGCGGAACTCCATCTTCCGTCATTTCTCCTCATCACATGACCGGCAAATCGATGTTTTGCTTCGTCGACGTGGAGCCTAACGTAACCTAATGCGCCGTCCCACCAAGAGCTTGGGCACTTTGGGTTCTTTTGTCACGGGAATCAGTATGGGGTTCCGGCGTAACTCTACCCTGACGGGTATTCCGATCCCGCTTCAAGCTCGTACACCACGACAAGGTAGAACCCATATACGAGGTATTGTATTACATGAAGTAAATAATGAACAATTTTTGAGTTAAGTAAGTCGAAAAGGTTGTGGGTTAAGTGGAAACCTTCACACTCATCTCCAAGAATGGTCCTTGCCATATGCGAGGCGAATGGGTCCGCAGCTATAGCGTGTCACTTTCTTCGCTCAAACGAGGCTGGGGCTGTAGGGCAATAGTTCCCCAGTGCGATCTCTACTTCGCCCGTGCTACCCTCAAGCTGCAGCACTTGCGTCGATAACATGGTCAACAGCGAAATTTGTTGTCAGCAATAGAGCGCAACAGAAGTGAAAGAGGGCAGACAACTAGTGTGTTTGGCTACAGCTAGGCGTGTAGCTGGCAGTACGGCATGCGGATTAGGAAATTGGCACCTGGGTGTCAGTACCCTCCAGCCCCATCTCTGGGCATTTCTCACTTGGAAAAGTGTATTATGTCATCTTATTTTGTTCGCGTGTTTTACCTGTGTGCAGGTAACCTGTGTTATTCTCGTATTTTCACAGTTATGCTGAACATAGTTCATATTTATTAAAAGGGGCTCACCTTTGTTGAGGGCGCGGCTGCGGTGGATTGTTGCCGATATAGATGACTGAAAGCCTGTGGCTCCAAAAATTCTTTTCGGGGTGGTGCGTAGTGAAGTTAACACTACTTTTAGAATTGGATAGATCATCCGCTGAGGATATCTGAAGAGGGGTCGCCATACTGGAGAGAATTTTCCTGGTCAATTGATATCTCCCGTTTTGCTAGATGACACCTCCTCTCTCTTCAGCTGCGAAATTTTGGGTTGCGATAATTAACGCCCCGCCGTAGGTTTAGAACTCTCAAAGTTCGGAATGTGGAGAGTCGTGTCCCCTCTGTTTCCTTTCTTCCCTTTTCCTCTCTGGTCACACTGTTTGAACACGAATGTGACTCTGAAAAATCTATTCGCATCTTCAACTTGTGTGACCGTAGGCGTGACAGGCGTGACCATGTTTGGCGCGGTGCATTTAATAGTAGAACTTCGTGCGAATTGATTTCAACCCCAGTTTTCCAACATCGCTACCGCTTTTTGATTTGTTTTTTCAGTGCGGGTTTTCTGGTCTAATTCTATCCTTGACAGTCCTGCTTATAGAAACTGTTTCTTACAAAAACTGAGAACAGTAGTACATAACCTTTATTACTAGAAATGCGTTGGGTTACGTTACTCCCAACTTCTTCAGCTCCATGTACTAAACGATTAAATCGAACGGGTATTCGAGAGTGGTCCTTTTTGCAATGTACGATTCAATGTAAGTGTGGCTTCTGCGGTTTGACCATTAGGCAGACTTGTCATCTAATCGTTATTTGTCCAGTGGGAAGCAAAACTCTTTCAGTCCTCCGTTTTTACACGCATTAACTGAATTTCTTGAATTCCTAAGCTTTCAGAGAGATGTCGACGACTTTTTCGAGAATGAGCGCAATTATCTCGTTGAGTATAACACGCACATCAAGGACGCCGCTTCAAAGGCTGAGAAGGTGGTGAAATTACGAAAGAGTGAGTATTCAGAAATCTCTTCTCACCTTTCAAAAAGTCAGCGATATGAGTGGTTCGCAAAGTGGGTGCCTGTTGTTCGGCTCCTTATGGATTGAATGTACGCCGAAAGATGAGCTGAAAGGTCTATTTTTTTGAAGAGTCAATGTCGATATCAGCTCGATACGCCTCAGAATCCTGCCTTTCACGGCGCAGTTCTGTTGAATGAGGTATCTATAGTACTCTCCAATTTGACCCTGACCTTTTTTCCCCCCAACAGCTTCCATTTCATGGAGCTATATAAGGTACTTCAATGTGCCGTTCTGCAAAAGCTCTCGTAAACCTGTGAAATAA